CCAATGGGAAGGGTCGAGGAGGGATGGCTAATTACCATGTTTCTCTTTTATTAGATAGGATGGTACACTGTCATAAATGTGGCCCATTGTTGACTGAAGCATCGGCATGCAGCACATGATTGTATATAAAAAAAAGTATACCCTTAGGGTATAAACAGTGTAGTTGCAGTGAGAGAAGGTAGATGAAAAGAGGTAATTTCCATAATGATAATGTGTTTTTAAGCTGTTTCATGCTATTAGCATCTCAAACAGGTTATAGTGGGATTTATTCTAGACAAATTATTGGATAGAGAAGGACATTCCTGACAGGAAAAGTATGTGGAAAACTGGGAAGTGGGAGTATGCATGAGTAGTGAGGAGATGTAGTGGGTAAGAAATTGTTTTGTAGCATTATAAAACCCCAGTTGAAGTGTGTGTGGGAGGCAACTGATTGATGTTTCTCACTTACATTGATGTTTCCCTTCCTCCCTTCCTCTCTCTCTCTCATTCTTCCTACCTCCCTCCTTCTTTTCCTTCCTTCCTTTCTCTAAAAATCAGTAAAAGCATATTAGGTGAGGATTTAAAAAAAAAAAAAAGATTGTCAAGTGTCATTATGTATAGATTTGTTTCTTGGGTCTCTTAAACTTCTCTGAAGAATTGGCCAAAAATCTCTCAGGAATAGAAGGTTGACATGAGGAATTAGGGTTAATGTGGATGTGAATGCTGCATTCTGGAAGTGGAAAGGGACATGGAAGGTGGGGAGGTAGAGAGGGTATCACTCCTCAGTTTTTTTAGATTTTATTTTATTTAAAACTAAAGGCCCAGTGCATGAAATTTGTGCACTGGTAGGGTCCCTAGCAGCTGCTGGCTGCTGGCTGAGGCCTCCCTCCCTTTCCCCAACTGGCCCTGCCCTTTCTCCCACCCGCTGGTCGAACTCCTGTTGAGGGAACAATTTGCATACTGTGCTTTTATTATATAGGATAGATTTTTATTGGTTTCAGAGAGGAAGGGAGAGAGACAGAAATAACGATGAGGGAGAATCATCCATCTGCTGCCTCCTAAATGCTCTCTACTGGGGATTGGGCCTGTAACCTGGGCATATGCCGTTGACCAGAATCGAACCCAGTACCCTTCAGTCCGTAGGCTGACACTCTATCCACTGAACCAAATCGGCTAGGACTCACTCCTCAGTTTTTAGACTTTTTTTTACTGAGGTCAGTTTTCTCAGTCTGTACTTTGTCTCTCTCCCTGGTTTTCACATGTGTAGGGATGCTTCCATTCAGTTGGCTCCTGAGAATGAAGGAGAGGCCCTGCAGGTACTAAACACACCACATACTTTAAATCAGTCTCCACATGTTACACTTAAACCTCTCCTGCCAATTGGAACCACCATGACCTGAGCCAGTAGGGGTTCTGTAGGCAGGAATACTTTCACTTAATTGGTATTCTCCTTGATAGATCTTTTAGGTTATAGCTTTTCCTACTTTGTTGGCTTTTTACTCTGCTTATTGTCTTCAAAAAATTTGTGGAAATCTCCCAAATCATTTCTCAGCTATATTCCTATGAGTTTTCATCTCTTAAAAAGTCCTTTACTGTCATTTATAGGAGTCTTTGAGAAAAGAAGCAATATAGCCAATTAGTAATGTCAAACCAGAGAAGTACTGGTATCCTATATAATAAAAGGGTAGTATGCAAATTGACCGAACAACAGAACGACTGATCTCTATGATACGCATTGACCACCAGGGGACAGACGCTTAATGCAGGAGCTGCCCCCTGGTGATCAGTGCACTCCCACAGGGGGAGCACCGTTCAGCCACAAGCCGGCCTGATGGCTACTGAGTGCAGCAGCCCGCCTCTGCAGTAACACTAAGGATGTCCGACTGCAGCTTAGGCCCGCTCCCCACAGTCGGACATCTCCCGAGGGCTCCCAGACTGTGAAAGGGCACAGGTTGGGCTGAGGGAATCCCCACCGCCCCCCTCCCCCCTCGTTGCACGAATTTTGTGCACAAGGCCTCTACTTATTTCAGAAAACAAATCAGACTATTTGTAACTATTTCTGTTTTCTCCTAACTTTTTAGATCTTGGTACTTTTTTGTTTCCTTTTATCCAAAATGAGCTTTCATAGACTTGTTAATCCTCACCTGAGTATATTTTTCCATTGATTTTTTTTTTTTTTTTAAGAGAGAGTGGGAGGGAGGTGGAGAGACAGAGAAACATCAATGTGAGAGAGACACATCAATTGGTTGCCTTCTGCACACTCCAACCACGGCTGGGGATTGAACCTGTAACCAAGGTGTATGTCCTTGACTGGAATCAAACCCGGGACCCTTCAGTCCATGGGCCGACACTCTATCCACTGAGCCAAATTAGCTAGGGTGCTCTCTTAAAGAGAAGAATGGTCTAGCATAGTTTTTCTAACCATCTGCACCCCCTCCTCTCTTATTTTTAAGCAGTATTCAAATATAGAGCCACTTGTTTCTCAATTCCTGTCTGTTTCCTTACTCCACTCTTATTACCTGGTCCTGCTCTTTCCTTTTTCTTGTACTCAGTTTGAATTCCTCTCCCACCAGTTTCTCCTCTTTGTGGTCCACTCTCTAGAAGTGATTTTGGCTCAGTTTGAAAAAGTCACAGGTGTTACACTGCTCTAGCCCCTTAAACTTTACCACAGACCTTTGTATTCGCTGCTGTTGGACTGCGCAAAACTACTTTGAGTTGCTCCTTTCACCTTGGCCTGTTGTGCTTTTAAGGAATACTTCCTGACTGTGTTGAGGTTTTCCTGCACTCACAATGGATAATGTGAGATGTCTCTTTGTTTCTCCCTGTGCATTCCCCTGCACAGATGCTGGTACTATGGAGGGCTTGTGGCTATTACTGCTTTGCCTTCACCTTGCATGTATTTTGGGGTCCTGTGAGATGTCTCTTTGTTTCTCCCTGTGCATTCCCCTGCACAGATGCTGGTACTATGGAGGGCTTGTGGCTATTACTGCTTTGCCTTCACCTTGCATGTATTTTGGGGTCCATGGGATAACTTATCTCCTGGTTTTATTATAAATATTAATGGATTTTTTGTTTTGCTCTCTAGTTGCTTTTATTTTTATTTATTTGTTTTTTAAATATATTTTATTGATTTTTCACAGAGAGGAAGGGAGAGAGATAGAGAGTTAGAAACATTGATGAGAGAGGAACATCAATCAGCTGCCTCCTGCACACCTCCTACTGGGGATGTGCCCACAACCAAGGTACATGCCCTTGGCCGGAATCGAACCTGGGACCTTTCAGTCCACAGGCCGACGCTCTATCCACTGAGCCAAACCGGTTAGGGCTCTAGTTGCTTTTAGTGATTTTTTTTTTTTTAATTCAGAGAAATTTAAAACTGCTGCTATCTTCTCAGAATCCTCCTTCCTTAACTTTTTGTGAAAAATCAAAATAATCAATTCTGTGGTTATTAGTCCTGTATTCCTATATTGATTATGTTCATTTTACTATAAATTGGCTCTTGATAAGTACCTAAATGTTATTTTTATCACTTATTTTCATATTGAATAGCATGCATCTTGATGGCATATAACCACTACCATTTGGATTGATCATCTCCATGCACCAATACCTATACCAAAATTAATTCAACTAGTATTTATTAAACCTCTCTGGGTAGAATGTTGTTAGGTCCCAGGATACAACAATGAAATATTTATATGTGTTGGCCATTTTTTCATTTGCGAATTTAATCAGTAAAAAGTGATGAGGACATGAAATTACTTGGATTCACCTTTTGTAAATTCAACAAATGTATGCACAAGGCACTGTAAGTTTTGAAGATAGAATGGTTTACATGACACAGTCCTTGTATTTAAGACCTTAATGAATTATAGGGGAAGAAAGCTAAGTAAAGAGGCAGTTATCATGTTATATGGTAAGTGCCACCATAAGGGAAAATGCAGAGCTGCCAGCTTTTTACAAGAAGTGGATGGGAGGAATGAGTACTTGGTTCACATTTTCATAAGTTAGCTCCTTAGAAACTCCCCCCCCCCTTTTTTTTTAGTGCACCAAATCCTACACTGCTACAGGACAATTTTTTAAACTTGGATATCCTACTCCATAATCACATATATTATTCCAGTTGGCCCACTGGAGAGCAATTTAGCATTTTGTTTTTCTTGATAAAATTTCAGACTAACTGATGTATAACCATAGGAATACCTCAAAAATTTAGATTAAGAAATTGAAAAATAGCCATCAAGAAAATGTAGCATAAAAATCTTTTTACTTTATATACTATTTATTTACTTACTTGGGAGAAAAAGGCTGTTTGGATTGTGTGTGTGTGTGTATTGACAAGTTAACTGTAAATGTATATAATATCTAAGATGAAACTAGGCCAGCCGTGGGCAAACTACGGCCTGCGGGCCGGATTCGGCCCGTTTGAAATGAATAAAACTAAGAAAAAAAAGACCGTACCCTTTTATGTAATGATGTTTACTTTGAATTTATATTAGTTCACACAAACACTCCATCCATGCTTTTGTTCCGGCCCTCCGGTTCAGTTTAAGAACCCATTGTGGCCCTCCAGTCAAAAAGTTTGCCCACCCCTGAACTAGGCTAATGTAATATTTTTTCTTTTTAGATCCTATACAGTGGTCTACAGACCAAGTCTTACATTGGGTAGTTTGGGTCATGAAGGAATTCAGCATGACTGATATAGACCTCAGCACACTCAACATTTCAGGACGAGAATTATGCAGTCTCAACCAAGAAGATTTTTTTCAGCGGGTCCCTCGGGGAGAAATTCTCTGGAGTCATCTGGAGCTTCTTCGAAAATGTATGAATTGGAGTTATTACCTACTTACATTGTGACTTAGTTTTAATTTTACTTTTTTACCTTTGTTATTGTAATTGCTTATTTTATTGATAATAGCAATAATACTTAACATTTATTAACTGGCTAAGGCTGTGGTAAGAGTTTTATATGTATTATTTAATCTCCGTATTAAGGCTGCAAATCACAGAGTGCCTATATGGTCTTATTATAAGCTTTCAAAAACCTCGCTCTGTCCATGTTGTGCCTTCGGCTTTGAGAGTTCCCAGGAAAAAGATGGAACTCTTTCTGAGAATTAGGGCTTAGAGGCTAATCTTATCGGTTGGTCATGCCTGTGCTATGTAATGGTGACTCTCTCTTTTGCCTTTTTAGGCTAGGGCACCTTTGTTCATTTATAGTCACAAATAGAACAGTTTCCATTTCAGTAGCACCTTTTACCTCTTCAAGGTACTTCTATAAAATTTGGGGGTGAGGGGGAGATCTGCCACAAACGTAAGGCATGGATTTTTCTTCAAGGCAGACAGCAGTTCTTGGGGGAAAATACTCAAAACTAGGAATCTGGATAAAACGGTAGCATCTTCAGTTTACGGAAAAATTAACTATGTTTCAGGCACTGTGTTTCTGAAAATATTTGCTTTTAATCCTCAGGACAACCTCATGAGGTGGTAGGTTGAGGATATCTCATTTAAACATGAATTAATGTTCAAGTTAGTTGAATAACTTAACCAAAGTCACACATCCAGTAAGTGAGCCCTCAGATCAGAATCCAGATCTTTCCTAGGCTAGTTCCATGTCGTTGTTTAATCTCCCAAACTCAGGACCCCCAAAGAAAACTTCCATCTGACAGGTGGGATTCAGACTTCTTTTTAGTCCCCCAGCCCTTTCCAGCTCTGTGTGCCTGGAACTGGGTCCTGGCATGGTGCCCTAAGTAGAACTGTGTTGGGAGCCCAGGTCTCCGAACTCACTGTCAGTACATATGATTGCTGGTGGGTACAATTCAATTTCAAGACAGAAGCTTCGGAACAATAATGGGCAGTAAATAGGCTAAAGTAATAGAGACTGGGAAGCATTCCTCTTGTTGGAGAGGTAAAGAATAGCATCTGAGTAAGGAATAGCAATAGATGAGTAACGAATGGTTCTCTAATGGGTTACGTTAGGGCCGTTTACGATGTACTCTAATGTTGGGAGCTGTATTTGTAGACATGTTAAATTATCTAGTTTAGTTGTGACATTTAGAACATTTACAGTTTTATTGAAAATGTATCTGTCTTTAAAGCATTATCAAATTAAAGCAGTGTTATTAAAAAGTGGATATTAGAACAAATTATTAAATTATGAAGATTTCTCAGATCATGTTGAGGGAGCCTTTTTGAAGAGTATATATAAATAATTTCAATGTGGTACATAGTCTCTTTTCTGATCTGATAATGAAGATTTTTGTGTTTTACGTGGTTTTATATAGATAGATAAATAGATTTAGATATAGATATTTACATTAGAAATTACTCTCTGAATAATGAACTCTAAAAGAAATTGAAGCTTTCCCTGCTACTTCTCTTAAAAATATCTGTTTGTTATAAAGTCATTATCAAGTATTTTTTAAAGTTATCATGCCAGTAAGTTTCAGTTGTTTAATATTTTGCTTTTTTGTTTGTTTGGTTTTGCTTGTAATTGTGGAGTTTCTTATAAAAGGATCAAATTTATTAAGTTCAATTTTACTGGATTGGGGTTTACATTCTGGTTTTAAATGAAAACAAATTATGTGTGTTCTTCAGATGTATTGGCAAGCCAGGAACAACAGATGAACGAGATAGTTACTATTGATCAACGTGAGTATTCATGCCCATAATATACGGCCCATTTATCAATAAGAAATATTTCCTTTATTCAGTACTGTGAGGTAGTAAAAAAAAGAACAAACTAAATATTTATGAAGTATTTTAGATATACAAAGAAAAAATAAATGATAACCACCATCTATATACCATAACACCATACCTATTAAAAACTAAATCTTTATATGTAAAATCTAAACTTTACCAGTTGTAGATCCCATTTTAAATGACTATCCTGAAGTGGATGTTTATCGTTCTATGTAGATTTTTACCAATTATGTAATCATAAATACTTTATAGCATTGTTTTGCACATTTAAACTTTTTGGGTAAAGGTATGAGACTTAGCCATGTTGATACTTACTGATCAATTTCATTCATTTTCACTGCTGTATATTCAACTTTGTCAACATCACTGAATAAGCAGTTGTCAGAATATACATGAGATTCTCTGATTGTAATATCAAGTTTCTACCTTTTCAACCTTACTAGGTATTACCAGTTTTTTCCTCAAAGTGGTGGTATAAGTTTATACTCTCATCAGTAGTGGAATGTGAGTCCTCATTTGTCCACATTTTCTCCAGCATCTGATAAACCATTTTTAATGAACAAATACTTTAAGATTGTATATACATCACTAAGTTATTTAAAAAATAAGACCAACTCTTACTAAGTTGAGATTCATGAACCATAATGCAAACAAACATCATACCTTATCCTTGGAACTTTTTTTGTAATTTTGTTTAAAACTTATGGATTAAGGCTTTTTGAAATGAGGCCTTTTGTTGATGTAATTAGAGGGGCATTCGTTTAACTTAATTGCATTTTATGTCTTTCAGTAGTTTTTTTCCTGCTTGTATTAGAAGTGGAAACAGTTTTTTCCCTTGTCTTTATTTGCAGCTGTCCAAATTATTCCAGCATCAGTTCAGTCTGCAACACCAACTACCATTAAAGGTATAAACAGCAGTGCAAAGGCAGCTAAAGTACAAAGAGCTCCAAGGATTTCAGGAGAAGATAGAAGTTCACCTGGGAACAGAACAGGTATTTTTGCAATCTTATCTGGTATTTATAATATTTATCAAATTATGTATATTTTGTTTTATTTCACTACTAGAGGCCTGGTGCACGGATTTGTGCACCCATGGGGTCCCTCAGCCTGGCCTGCAGGGATCGGGCAGAAGCCGGCTCTCTGACATCTCTCAAGGGGCCTCGGATTGCAAGAGGGCGCAGGCCAGGCCGAGGGACCCCACTAGTGCACGATTGGGGCCGGGGAGGGACCGTGGAAGTGATCCAGGGCGATCGGCTGGACCCCAGCAGCAAGCTAACCTACCTGTCGGAGCTTCTGCCCCCTGGTGGTCAGTGCATAGCATAGCAACTGATCAAACGAATGGTCAGACACTTAGCATATTAGGCTTTTATTATATAGGATGTGAAAATCTGAGTATGGCCTATTTCTCTGGCAGTGCTTAGACAGTTTTTGGAAAAAACTGCTTTTAGCATGGTTGAGCTAAAAACCAGAGAGCCTGTTTGTTGCCTTTTGCCCTCTTTTAATTCATAGCACTTTGGTCAATGCTTGTCCCTGTCAATTTAGGAAACAATGGCCAGATTCAACTGTGGCAGTTTTTGCTAGAACTTCTTACCGACAAGGATGCTCGAGACTGCATTTCTTGGGTTGGTGATGAAGGCGAGTTTAAACTAAATCAGCCTGAACTGGTTGCACAAAAATGGGGACAATGGAAAAATAAACCTACAATGAACTATGAGAAACTCAGTCGTGCGTTAAGGTAAGATTTATTACTTTTTAAATATCAAGCTTTTCTAAAAAATGGCTCCTTCCTCTAGGTGTGAACATTGTGATGTAATGGTGTTAAAATCCTTGACTTGTTCACAAGATATTTTATATATATATGCTAAAATTTTTCATACTTAGGTTAAAAATGGCTCCTTTTTATTTTATTTTATTTTTTTTATTGCTTAAAGTATTACAAAGGGTATTACATATGTGTCCTTTTTTTCCCCCCGCCCTTGACAATCCCCTGGCCTTGCCCAGTCCCCAGTGTCTTATGTCCATTGGTTATGCTTATATGCATGCATACAAGTCCTTCGGTTGATCTCTTACCCCCCTCCCTCCTACCCTCCAACCCTCCCCAGCCTTCCCACTGCAGTTTGACAATCTGTTTGAGGCAGCTCTGCCTCTGTATCTATTATTGTTCAAAAGTTTATAATGGTCTCTATTATCCATGAATGAGTGAGATCACGTGGTATTTTAAAAATGGCTTCTTAAAAAGATTTTTAGTAATAATTTTGAGGTACATAAAAGTTTTTTTTATAGATTATTCTAAGATTATTTGCTTTTGTTTATCAGGGAATGCCTTGATTTCTTCTTTATATCTGAAGGTTAACTGTTAAATAGATTATTCTTGGCTGGCAGTTCTTACCTTTCAATATTTTGAGTGTCATTCCACTGCAGGCCTGTCTGGTAATCTGCTGATAGCCTGATGGGGAAAAGTTATTTGTTTTTATCTAATTTAAAAGCATATACTACTCTGTTTAAAACCAACATATTTAATCTTTGAGGTTTCTATTATTTACATAACAGATAAAGATGCTGTCATTTGCATAGATGCATTGAGTGTAAACTTGAGCAAATATGCAGAATGTTGTCTTTTTATAATTGGATACAAAATGGTGGCCTGTTTTCCTGTTTTTTTTCTCCCCCTACAATCTGCCTAAATATGAATATCCAATCTTTACGTTGATAGAATTGAAATGGAATAAAATTACTTATAATTTCCCCTAAGTAGTATAAAATTTTTTTGATGTAATTGCTATAAGAAATTATGTTTGCTACAATTACGGAAATTCAGTGTGTGTTGTTAAGTATCTGGGAAGTAGTATATATAGGAATATCATAGAATTCTTTTATGATATTTTTAAAAAATATTTTTAAAAAGTTATTTTTGAAGAGTGAATGTAGTAAAGTAGTTCTGCAATTTACTTCTGTATTTCTAAATATCATTTATGTTGCTACTTCACATTTCCCTTGGATATTGTGTATGAGTTTCATAGTGAGAGATTATGATCATGATGCCTGTATCTGTCAACAGTAGAGTGAATAAATAAATTATGGTATACAAGAGAATATACTGTGTACCCATGAAAATGAACTGTTGTTGCTACAAGCACTGGTACTAAACCTCGTAATACAATCTTCAGTGAAAGAATTCAGACCCGCCCCCCAAAATCCAGACCCATTCATATCCTATATGAATGCATTTAGATAGTAAAGTGCAAAAAGCAGAAAAACTAAATTACAGCATTTAGGATGCATTTTTGGCCCAGTCGGCATGGCTCAATGTTTAAACGTCGACCTGTGAACCAGGATCATGGTTCGATTCCCGATCACATTTTTGAGTGGTAAGACTATAAATAAAAGCACTGAGATTACTATCATGAAACAGGATTGTGCTTACCTTTGGGGTGGGGGAAGTGATGATTGGGAGGAGCCATGGAGGGGATTCTGGGGTGCTGGCAGTGTTGTTTCCTGACCTGAGTCATATTTAACAGGTGAAAGTGCAGTTTGTAATCACTGAATTCACTTTTTTGTCCTTTTTTGTTCGTGTAGTATATTTCACAGTTTAAAAGGTTAAAAAATATTTTTTTTTTAAAGAGGGAGGAAATAAATCATGAAAATTCAGGTGCTGTGTACCTTTCAACTTTCCTCATTTTAGGTAGGGGACAAATGCAATGAATTGGTGTGGTTGTGTAATTTATCTACTAGATTGAAGGAAGTATTAAGTAAAATTAAAACTTTTACTTTTATCACCTCATGCCAAGAAACTTAAGACTATACCAACTTAATTTTTCTCTTTGAAATATAAAACTACTTCCCTTCTTCATTTTCCTTTTTTCTATGGTGTCTGCTTGTACAGCCTTACATAGTATGTAGAAACTAGAGGCCCAGTGCACAAAATTCGTACACTGGTAGGGTCCCTAGTGGCTGCCAGCTGCCCGCAGGGTACTCCTTCCCTTCCCCCCGGCCGGCCCCATCCCCTGGTTGAACTTTTGGATGACCTCCCGGTCGAGGGGACAATTTGCATACTATGCTTTTATTATATAGGATTTCCTTAAGAAATTGAAATGCCAATAGCATTTTAAACTGGATGCCAAGCATTTGGTGGTTTGTAGACTGAGATCTAAATTATGTATTAACGTAATTGACACAAAAGGGAAAACAAGATTGTAGCCAATGTTATATATCTTACTAGGGGGAAGTGAAGATGACTATTCTGTTTTTGCTTTTCTGCATTTAGGGA